TAAAAAAAAAAAAAAAAATCAGTCTTAAAGGGATAGCTCTTCATTTACAAATGTGTGACTTTTTTCCATAGGCCATAGAGTACAATGAAAATCAATGGGGTCCAATATTGTTTGGAACCCAGTGTTCCTCAAAATATTTTCTTAGAGAGAAATGCATACAGGTTTGGATAAACATGAGGGTGAGTAAATTATGACGAAATATTAATTATGGGTGATCTACATTGCCATTCAAATGTTTGGGATCAGTAAGGTTTTTAATGTTGTTTTTTTAAAATGTCTCTTTTTAAAATGAGTCTCTTATGCTCATCAAGGCTGTTTATTTAATAAAAAATACAGAAAAAACAGTAATATTGTAAAATATTATTGCAATTTCTAATATTGGTTTCCTATTTTAATATACTTGAAAATATAATTTATTTATCTGATGTAGCGCTGAATTTTTAACACTATTTTAAAGTGTTAAAATAGAAAATTGCTATTTTAAATAACAAATAATATTTCACAATTATAAATTTTTTCTTTATTTTTGATCAAATAGATACAGCCTTGATGAGCACAAGAAACGTCTTTAAAAACATTAAAAATCTTACTGATCCCAAACTTTTGAATGGCTGTGTATCTTTTTAAAGATTTCTGCATCAAACATACTTGTTTACATGGCCTTTCATTTCAGACAAATCGATTTCAGACAAACGAGAACAATAATTAGTCTTTTTAAAATATCATGTAAAAACTTTAGTCTACGCTAATGCAACTATAGCTTGGATTCATCCATCATACAGTATACACGTTAATCGGAAAATGATAGTGTATGTCTATGTCCTGTATGCTTGGACAGACAGATTATGTTGCATTATTATAACTGCATCCTCTGTCATCTAAATCATAATGTTGTAGTTATTTAACTTGGAAACGTCACAAATGTCATGTAGAGGTGAACGAGTTCAAACTCTTATAGGCCTATGTGTAAATCAGGCTTTGACAGCAGTGCATGCTGGCCACTGATACATGATTCGTAAGCGTGTATGCTAACCAGTACCCTTTGGCATCTGTCATGGAGAGTGATGTTTCTTATCGAAGGCATTATTTTTTTGTTTGTTTTTGTTTTCAAGTGGTCAATAATGGTGACCATATGAGGGAGTGAAATGCACCTGGTGCTAATGGCTTTTGCCTTAGGGACTAATGAACATAATTAATTCATTTGCATAAACTGGTAATTAGTAAAGCCGTTGTTGCTTGTGTTAGACTACATGATTTTAACACCCCCAGCAAGACAACAATTCTTTTACTTATTTCCCTAGTGAATGATTGTCTTCAGATTATGGGTCATTAAAGCACTATTAAGTAACACATCCATATGGCAGCTATGCTTACAGTATTCAGTAATTGTAAAAGCATCCTTTTAATTACAGTGGATTGAAATGAAATGAGTGTGTGGTAAATAATCCTAAAGAAATGCGTGTTGACCAGTTTCTGCCTTCATAAAATATTAAAAGGCAAGAAGTTCATTTTCATGAAAAAGATTCCACTGGAGATTTTAAATGTTCATTT